CTAGGCAAAGTTTGCATGACCCATTCAAGGGGTAGGCATTATTTGCTTGGCACAATTAAGAGATAGTCAATGTATGCTTAGACAATCCAAGGGATAGGCAAAGTTTGCATGGCCCATTCAAGGGGTAAGCAGTTTGCTTGACCCACTCAAGGGATAGGAAAAGTTTGCTTGGCCCATTCAAGGGATAGGTAAAGTTTGCTTGGTTCTTTCAAGGGGTAGGCAAAGTTTGCTTGGCCCATTCAAGATGTAGGCAAAGATTGCTTGGCTCATTCAAGTTAAAATATTAAACACAGAAAAATCATTTTTAAATAAAAAGTTAATCTCAGAAATGTTATACATAAAACTACAGAAGAAAAGCCTCAATTTGCAGTCGGACACGGATTTCTTTCCTCATGCGTACGCTTCGATCATAACGAAATTTAAATAGATATAATGTTGATAGTTTAGCTCTCTTGACATTGTTTATAGTATTTTACTTATAGTTAAAAAAAACTGCTTTTTTAAAATTGCTAGAAAAAACCAGAAAAATTTCGGTTTTTTTCAAAAAATTGATTTTTTGTGAAAAATTGCTATATAAACGGTATACTACCTAATTTTTAATATTTTTTATCATATTAAATATTAATTAGGATTCAGAAAGTAATGTAAGTAATTTTATGTGATTTGTTTTAATTTGCTCCTTAAAATGTGTAAATTTGTTGTTTAAATTAGATGTAAGCTTATAACTTTTATTAGTTATACTCTCGTATTTAAATAGTATTGTTAAAATAAGACATCTTGTATAAACGCTGGAATTAAAAATGAGATAATTTTTATGTTTACATCTGAATATTATATTTCTTGAAGTGATGATTATTTATTATTAAATAAATTGTTTTAAGAAACGCAATCCTAACAACTAGTGTAAAGATTAATTTAAGTTAATGTTTATTGTTGAGATATATACGTATGAGTTCGATACGTATTCGGTACTCGTTCTTTTTAGACTGTTCGGCTTGAATATGTAAGCGATGAGCTTTTGTTCTGTTGATTAACGACCAGATTTGAATTGATGTAATTCAATTCCTTGACATATATTTTAAAGCTGAGTTTATAATATAATCGAGATTCATAAATAAAGTTTATCTCTACAACAAATTAAGTCTCAATTGCCTTCGTGACTTAATATTTATATTAAGAATTTTTAAAGAGTTTTGATTATTAATAATTGTCAAGAGCCATACGCTTTATTTGAAAAATACATTAATTCTGTTTTTTATTTATTCTTGTGTAATTTGCTTTTTATTTCTTTTGTATTTAACATTACCAGCAATAAATATATGCTTGTTATAAAATTTCAAAATTTTGAAAAGTGTATCAAAGTCTTGCAAATGTGAAATGTGATAGATTTTACGAATATATACGTGAAATTTTCCATTGAATTTTTCTACTCTTTGAAAGACACCGAAAAAATCCGCGGAAAATTGAAGAAAACCGGTTTTCTTTCCAGCCTTTAAAACTATATATTTACTTTTATATATTTTGTTTCTTTTTGTCGTAACGACGTACAGATCTGTTAAAACGGCGAACATTCTGAAAGTATTTATAGATGTATTAAGACATAATTCTCAACGCATTTTATGATAACGTTCAGTGCCGTAACTAGGACGGTGCCGTCGTACTGGGCACAATCGTCAGGAGGGGCACAATCGCGACCATACATTACCGGTCAAAAGTTTAAGTTCATTCTCAGTAAATTTTTACCCATTTTTAAACTTTGGTTACTCAGCGAATTGACTTAAAAAATAGATTAAAAAAGGATTTTACAGGGCAAACTCTCTACTATAAGATGCCTTTGTTCAATTTTTACTCACTTTAATACTTAAAGGTTTGATCAGCTTCGAATAAAGACGTCCATACAGCACAAAAGTTTGCAGCAAAGCACGGAAAGTAATACGTACGCTTGTCTAACGCGCGCATATCAAAGAGAACAAAAAAGTTAGTCAAAATATTATATTTTGTACTTTAATACATGTAAATTTTATATTTACGAATGAAATATATTTTAACTATATGTATTCAATTTTCTTGACAACTTCTATTTAACAGATGTATCACTGCGGTATATATTTGTTATCAATAAATGTTTATAGATCATCACGAAGCAACAGTTCCCGAACGATCAGGAAGGTTAAGCAGCGCTGGACTAGGTACATACCCTCACAGCACATGAACATCCCCATAAGGTTACCATAACTTAAAATTGTAAGATGATAACATTACCCGGAGATTAATAAACATACAATTAACCTTCCAATAACATGAAAATGTTCGTCCAAACTCATTCCATTTACATCCCATAAATTTTGCAAGGTACATTGTATTAATATTATACAATATTATATTAATGTCGTTAATTAATAAACAAACTAAAAGCGATTTTCATTTTTTGCTAAATATTGCTAAAAAAATTTTTATTAATTAGCATCACGTTTCAGAGATAAAGAAAAAATATGTACAAAAAAATTATTATTAAAAAATATGTATTTGGAAACTACAAATTTCAGGATGTTTTTACATATAA